TGCCCAAAATATGAGCTTGGAATCCAGTGAGTGCGAACATCTATGGGGAAAACATAAAAAATATAAAAACATGAAAACTTCAATCAATGCAGAGGACGCATCGAGGCCAAAAGGTCAGTGCCTCTACGGCAAATATTTATTTAAACACGAGTCAAGTGAAAAAATATAACACACACACTCGCCAGCCACAAAAAAAAAGAATGAAAAAAGAGGAAAAAATCATATTAAATATTTACCCTGACCGAAGGCGAGCTCTGGGATTTGATTAAAGAATTTTTGCATGCGCCCACCTTTGCGCATTAATTTTTAATTTTCATTACACACAATGTTGCGTTGCGTCTTGCCAATTATCTTGGCGGAAAAAATCGCACAGAAAGTCCCTCGAGCGGGGCAAATAAATTAGGCCAATTATATTGAATTGTCTGATTGATTCGACTTTTGCCGGCCTAATTGCTATTTTTTTTCTCTCCGTTGTTGTGGGCGATGTTCTGCATTAATTTATGTTTTTGCACAAGACGCCGGCTGCTGATGTAATAAACGCATAAAGGATATTAATGAGCTGCTGTTTGCTTATCCTCCCCCTGAGCCCCTTGTACTGGCACTCACCCGATTTGCTTTTATTTCAGCTGAAAAGGCAACTAATTGCTTACTTACACACACACTCTTACAAACACTGAGTGCTGAAGAGGAACGGGGCCACAGAAGGAGAACTTATTGCTCATGCTGGCAGGCTCTGTTCTCACATATTTCACAAATTGCGCATACGACATGTTAAACGCCTCGCACGCACACCACGCGGCTAACACACGCTCCAAGTCACGGCCAAGTCAGCGCCGAGCGCATTATCAGGCCATAGTGGGCAGGTTGCCTTTGGCCTGGCTTCCGCCACCCTCCGACTTCTTTGTCATAATTCAACTTTTATTTATACACAGAAACAGGACACTAAGGGAAAATACAGTCGGAAATCGGGATTTCTCTTTTTGAAATGAAGTAGGAAACGTAACATAATAAGTTGAACTGGTTTGCCATTAAAATGTTTTTCAGTTTGGATTTTTTTTGGATTATAAAAAGCTGTAACTATTAAAGCGTATGCAATATCAATTAAATATGATAATACTTTTCTGTTCAGGAAAAAATATATTTCTTTTATAAAATCCCAGTAGAAAGGTATCAGATGTTTATTTTCAGTTTTAGTTCAGATCCAAACTTTATAGTTTAAGTTTAAAAGTGTACCATTTTCTCAGTGTGTTCGCTGACACACTCTGACAATGCCAGTGAAATGTTCTTTGAGTGGCGCTAAAAGTATGCCGCATGGTGTAATAACACGCGTCGACGCCGAGGAGTTGGCGCTTCTTGTGGCGCTTCTGGTGCTCCTGCTCCTGCTTCGCGCCCTTCTGCTGCTCCTTCTGCACCTTCTGCTCCTCCTGCTGCTCCTGCTAGTCCTGTTAGTCCTGTGACAGTGACAGCGGCGGTACTTACGCTTGTCAGACGCATGCTTATGATATATCACACAGTGGCACACTCGCCGGAGAAGAAGGAGCCTTTGAGCCCGCTCCCAGCTGGCCGATAAGGGGATGTCAGTTAAATTCACACTGTCTATCTGTCGCCTGCATGCGCTGACTGACGACTGCAGCTGAATTTATATTTTATATTATTTTATTTCAAAATTTATGCCATCTGCCAGCGTAAGCGGGCGCCTTCGCCATCGGAGTTATGCGTCTTTGACTTTATTGAGCATGCGAATTGCACAATGCATGAGGGAGTTCTCACTCCCAGTTTCCCCACTTCCACTTCTACTTCCATCTCCATCTTCATCTCCATTTCCACTGCCGTTCCCACACTCTGCCATATGGGAATGTTCCTCCGGTTTTTATGCCGCGTTAAATCTTGAGGAAATTGTGTCACATTATGATGAACATTTATGGCAAAGTTGAGCAGTTGCCCATAAATTTGTGAGCCCTGATGACAGGATCCCGGCATCCAGCATCCAGCATCCCGGCATTCAGGCATCCAGGCATCCAGGCATTCTGGGATCCTGGGATTCGAGAGGGTGAAGAAGCGGCCTAACGATGATGGAGTAGCTGCGGTAATTTGACAAGGCTAAAATCTGCCAAGACGGCTGATGCCTGATAGGTGGGCGGATGGAAAGCCGTAGCCGGAGCATCACCTGGCCAAGGAAACCAATCAATAGGCAAATAAGCAGGTAGACATGCCCACTGCCTGCGGCTGGCAGTTACCAAAATAGGCCGGCTTTCGGACCGGATTCGATTGGACAAACTGTGCTATTTCCGACACACAATTCCCTATAAATTGGACAACTAATTCTTTGCCGGCAAATGGCGTCCTAAGTTGGACTAACTGGGGCTTTAAGCGTCAGTAGTTGGCCATAGTTATACGATACTTGGCAGCAACAACGACTGCCAGAGAAACGAACGAACTTTTTCCGGGCAGAAAGCCCTCTTTCATTTGCCTTCTCGTGTTTCGTGTTCGCATTGGCAAACTTTTTTAATTAGCAAATCTTCCACTTGGTGTCATTAAAGTTCAGACCGGAACGTCGGAAGGCGTCACAATGCAACTGCGGAGTCGTCGGTCGGCCCTTCCCCAATTCTCCGATTCGCTCCCCAGTTAATTAAGGGGAGGGTAAGGTCAAATCATGCGAAAAAAGCCATGTTTTTGAGATTTTTTTCCTGACGACATAGTTAAAATTTATTTATTCAACCAACGGTATATTAAGGTATGACATTAGAAGAATGTTTTACCAAATTTTTACAAAAAAATATTAAAAAATGTGGCAATGGTAGCAATTGTCCGGACGTGTCGCCAAAAAAAGTTGAATTGCGGTGCCCCTCATAACTCGGTGCTGGATCATCCGAAATCAAAAAATGAAAATTCATTCGTTAGATAATAGTTCGCCCCAGGTAACGCTGTAAAGTTTTTTTGAAAATTGCAATTTTTTAATTTTTTGGAAGATTTTGAAGTGAAAAACACAATTTTTTGGGAAAAAATCGGTTAATTTTTCATTGCAAAGTCAAAATTATGAACAAAAAAAAAAAAAAAACTCGACAGCGTTACCTCGTAAAATATGTGCAGAAATAGTATTTAAAATTTCAAAAGGATCGGTGCAGTAGTTTTGAAGTTATTAGGGGCACCGACTTTGAAAATAGCGTGTTCGGCAAAATCGATTCAAAGTATTTTTATACGTGAAAATACGCCCAAATACGGTTGTTTAAAACGCTGTAACTCCGTTAGTTTGACTTTAATTGACTCAAAATTTTTACACAATGTTCTCGACATATTAATCATTCAGAAAAAAATAAAAAAAAAATATTAAAAAAAAATTTTTAAAACCTTACCCTCCCCTTAATCAGCAATAAAATATGCCAACCGAATGACACAGGCCGAAAGGCTGGAGCAGCTGACTCTTCTGGGATATATGTATATGTATACACTATATAAGTATGTATATACCCCTCAACGCAGTCAGACAGACAGGGGAACATGCGTTGCTTGTCGGAAATTTACTAATGAGCAAAGTTTGACTGTCAATAGCCCGGGTCCTCTCACCCTGGTTAATTTATGGGCAGGTAACAAGAAAAGAGGGCACAAAGAAAATATGAAACATAGATACACTGGGGAAAATAAATATCAAAGTTCCCGAAAGAAATACTATAACAAAAGAGATCAACTTCAGAGCTTATTTACTAACTTACTTCATTTCTATTATTTTGATTGAAACATACGTATCTGCAAAATTCTTTTTTCCTTTTCTAGGAACCCAAATGCACTTTTTTTTCTCACTGCCAAAACAAAAGAAAATAGGGGGTGTTACGCAAAAGGAAGAACAACACATTCGCTGGCAGTATTCCAAGTTATTATCTTTTAATCAAAAGGCATCATAAAAATTTATGAACTTTTTCGCGAGAGTTATATTTTATTTATTTACACTCCTCCATTCCGCAAGTGCATGCGTGTGTGTGTGTGTGAGTGTGTGTATGTAATGCTCATTAAAAACAGCCTAACACACACATACATGAGGAGAAAAGGAGCCAAGTTGTCGCATGGTTGCCGATACGAAATGTTGCATAATTAAGCGAGCACAGGCTTTCCAGGTGAAGGTGAAAAGTCCTGCGACCTGGATCGTCTTCACTCCATTAATGCAACACCATTGAGTTAGGAGCCAACTAGCCGTGACGCACGAGTGGCTTGCCACTGGGGTGGTGGGTGCTGAATGGTGAGTGGGGAGTGCCGCATTTCGGCTTATCAATTTCGATGCGTTGTTTAATTGTCGACACTCGTGTTGCCGCTGCTCAAACACGCAATTAAAAGGCGCAGCAGCAACATTTGGCTAGGTGATAAAGCGGCACTCAGCGAGGGCTCGATTTTATGGGTCGCCATTCGGGGGTTAAGGGATGAGGGGAGATGAGGAGATGAGGGGTCTGGTCATAATAGGGGGTGGGAAGGTCGTCGTGGCTCAGCTGAGACCGGGCACATAAATCCACTGCCTTAATTACGCGTCTCACATCGAAACGCACCATTAATCACACTTCATCGATGCGATGGCCACATAAAACAACCAATTTCGAGGAGTGTATTTCCTCCGAACTCTCCCACTCAACTCTGATTCTTAAGGACCCGAGTGCTCGATTCGACTTCTGGACTTACCCTTTTGGCCAGCTCTTTACGACCCCAATTTGCCTGACGTCCAATGTATAAAAATTTTATTAGCACTTTTCATATTTTCTGCCAAAGAGTTTTGTGGTACACTTAAATGAAATGTTTGCAGTCGTAACGGAATAAAATATATATTTAACAAAAATTTTATATTATCTTTTCCTTTCAAAAGAGAAACCTATAATGGTTTCTTTAAGTATATCTCAGACTGAATAAAACCTCTAAATTCTTAAGAGCGCTTTCGTTTTAGAATAGAATTTTTCTTTGTGCTTGCCCAGAAAAACAATCAGCACTTACTCACGTTTGGACATTTGCTTTTCTATTCACAGGATCCTATCCGACCGTCAATCCGCCGAAAAAGAAGGACCATAAAAGGGCGAATAAACATGTAAAAGCACATTAAGCGATGCTACGGACTTGATCTGAGTTTGAGTCTGAGTCACACGGACGGACATGCATTCGTAAATGTCTGCGGAAATGCTCTTTTTATGGGCCAAGAGTACATTGGCGCTTCATTAAAGCCAACGGCGGAAGCGGAAATAGCCGAGCGGCCATAACAAGGAGACGCGTGTTCATTGGCGCCAGGTTGAGCAAACTGCAGTCACTGCAACATTCTACAGCCACTCCTTTTGCACTCCTCTGCGTTTCTTTGACACTTTGGTCAAATTGAAGTTTGCCACATAAATGACGAGACGTTCTCGCGTTTGGCACAACGCACCGCAAGCACAACAAAATGACAGCCATGCAGCTTTTATTACCAACAACCGGAATACCAACAACAGCATCAACAGCAGCAACAGCAGCAGCAGCGGAACACGAAACAACAGCAATGCAAACGACATATTGGCAGCAGAAAAGCGGCAAGAGCAGAGGCAAAAGCGACAGCAACAGCATGGCCAACATGAACACACATCGAAAATCACGGACGAGATGCCCGGACAATGGGAAAGCGATTTGGGCTGTCGGCTTGACGTTGGCCCTCTTGACTTGCCTGCAGCTAAAATCGGTTTTGGCGGACGAGGAGTCGCAGGATTTTCAAAAGAACAGTGAGTACAAGCCAGCGACTGTATTACGTGTAATAACAATAACAGCTAACGATCAACGGCGGGCGGGCGGGCGTAGCTCGATTCGTCCGGCAACGAAACTCAGTTACTCCGGCGGTAACGAGCTGGTGGTTTCCCCTCAAATTATTGAAGGGAAGTCTCGCTCGTTATGGTTCGTCGGGACTTGCCCAAACAATAGAAACTGTTTAAAATTCAGCAATATTTGCCAGAAATCGAAAAGAAAATGTTGCAGAGTGAGAAGGTCTTTTTAAAATATCAAGAACTTCGAGTTTCTCTTGAGACTGTACTTTAAAAAATTAGCGATGCAAAACTTAATTCTGATCTAGATAGCTTAAGGGCAAGTTTTGTTAAAATAGAAACTAAGCTTAGAAATTCCACAAGCTCCCTTTAGGCTTAATAAATTCAAAGCATCTAAAAATAGATAGAGCAGCCATTAAAATGGTAATTAGAAAACATTGCATAATCTTGCAGCACTTTCATCTTATAATATGTGCATAACTTATGATAAGATGCCTCTTGAAGGATATTTTATCTTCAATTTAGATGCCCTTTTATCCTTAAGCCCGAATCTAGTTTTGTGCTTTGGCCAACACCTGTTCGCAATCCCATAAGCTCCCATCGCTGGCCAGTTGATTTGATCATCGGAATGTAAATCCCGAGAAAAGAGCTGAATTATGCCAAGAGGTCATCGCTTTTTCGCTCACGTCTGCACAAATCGTTCATCTTGCCAAGGCATTTTGTGCAAACTTGCAAATCATGCGACGACTGCCAAAAATCCTTATCAATGTGCGTTAGATAAAACGTGCAGAAGTTTTTTTTCCCCCAGCCGTTGGCCATCTCCTCTTCTTCTGGCCCTTGGCACATTTTTCAAAACGAACACAAAACTTGCAAGCCATGGTGCTAGGGCGTCAGCACTTTTGGCCAAACAACTTTATAATTTGCGAGGTCGAGGATGTGCCGGTTCGGGTCTGCTCCTCCTCCGTTCAGCTCGAGAAAACCCAATCCGAAGGTGATGGAACTGGTGGTGCCTTGTGCTTTTTACGAGCCTCTCAACTCTCCGCTCTCAACTGGTTGTTGTTGCAAGTAGTTCTGCGCTTCTCCGCTGGTAACCTTGGGGCAAATCTCATTTCCCCAGCGTCTGATTCCCCGCCCGACTCCCACTTTCCCACTTTCTGTCCGCCGGCCAGTCGACAAAAACAAATCATAATTCGGCATCGACATCAGCATATTTTCCTTTTGGGGTCGTCTGCGTGTCGGCTTCCTTTGTTGCCTCACAGATCCCGGGGATGAGATGAGATGGCTTGGGTTGGGATTCGGGTTGGATTGGGTAGGGTTCGTGTGCCAAAGGCGGCTGAAATTTATGACAGGATTTGCCGAAATCGAGACACATTTTCCAGCATTTTCTATTTCGCCGCCGTTTGTCGTCGAGCCCATCGATGCATGGGATTTTGTAGTAAATTGAATTTCGATACTCGGATTTAGACGTTCTCCGACTTGGGCGTCATGGCCGTTTGGCTTTTGTCTGAGCATCCCGAGCATTAAATTTAATTACGTTTGCCGCTTTATTAGCGGCAATCCAGCTCGGCTCCAGTTTCCACTTCGCATTTGCATGGCTGCTAGAAGGCGCTTTCCCAGCGCTTTCCCGGCGCTTTCCTCACTCAAGTGTTCTTGGCTCGTGTGCTATTGATCCGGCTAAAGGCATTTCGGTATGTATCGGCGGCTTTTCCCCGCCGCCGGCTGCACATTTGGCCAAAACTCACACAAACAGCACTGGTGACGCCTTAAGTGGAATCCAAATGTGCTGCGTATCGTTGGCACATAAACAACTCCCTGGCACATCGCGTGTGTTTTTTGTCGGGGGGAGAAAAGCAAAGCAGCCAGGAGATATGGCTTCCCTTTTGTCGCATGAATATTTTCATCATAATCGTCGCTATTTTTATGTTCCTGCCAACGCTACAGCAACAACTGCACGGGGAAAAAATAGATCTAAAATTGGAAACTCTGTGGCTTTAATTGGTGTTTATTTGGGATGACAACTTAAGTTTCTATTAGATTTTGATTTATTAAAAGTAGTTATCAAACATACATTGTGAATGAATTATTTCTTTAAAGCCTTAAGTTTTTAAGTTTTCTTTTTTCCGAGTGTTAGGAAATAAAAATGTTTTTGGCATTAGGGGGATTTATTTGCCGGCAGTGCTGGTGGTGTGTGTTCCATGCAAATCTCTTGCTGTGCTCCTGCTGCTTTTTCCTTTTTCCATTGGCCTTGGCTTTGCTCTGATGGGCAATCAACACGCTCGCTGAAATATATTCATATGTGCGTTTACACCGAGAAACACCCAGAATGAACCACCCCAAGGACAGGGGGCGTGGCTGTTTAGATCACAGGCGGCGTCACTAAGCGCCCATTCGATTGCAGTGAAAACAGCAAAAGAACTTTTACAACAACTACAACGGCAATCCACTCCACTCCACTCCACCACGTTCCTGTTCTTCACTCTCGCCTCATCAGCGCATCGTTTGTGTTGTAAATTGATTTTTTGTTAATTTTTATGAACTTCAAAGGAAAAACAGCAGCAGAGCAGCAGCAGCAGAAGAAGGGTGCAGCACATGTGCACCGAAACCATCCACCATTCGACGGCAGAAGAAGCGTGGAAAAATTTCACAAATACATATTTCCATATATATTTTATTTATAAACACGCGCGCGTTCGCAGTGTCAAAACAGCGTCATAAGCGCTGCCAGGCGATCAGAATGGATGCCCCACCATGTGGAGTGGTGCAGCGTGGATGGGGATTCCTAGCGGTGCATGTGGGTCTCGATATGGATGAGATGGCGATGGAGGTGGAGGACGCGATGGAGATGGAGGTGCTGCACAAACGGCAGAAGCGCCACAAGTCAAGTGCAGCATTGGCGCAGGCAAATGAAAATTTCGTTGCATTTTGTATCTCTGAAGTTGCGACGCGTCGCAGCAAGATGCAAAGTTCAATTTCACATGTGGAAAATAACAGTGGGTACAACACAGCACAAAAAAATAAAGGGAGCTCAAAAATACAACAGAGGAAGCACATGTCACACTGCAGAACGTGTGTGCGGTGGAAATGGATGGGGTGTTGGATGGAAAAGCGGGGGGAAACACTGGGGGGAAAAACCGGGGAACCGGGACCTGCAATGTTCGAGCAACTGGCTTGACAGACGGCAGCGACACGAGAGTGGAAAATAAATGGATGCTGCGGGAAAAGCAGAGAGTGCCGGAAGGGAAAAGCGCAGCACGATAGATGGAATGCCAGGGAGAAAGAATGTCCAGCCAGGTAAAGCACCATTGCGATACAACCAAAGGTGGAGCACACTCAAACATGCATATCTCCCGAATACCACCAGAGTGGAATCCAAGTGTTTTAAATATTATTTACCTTTACGGGGTTCCAATACATCCGCACACCCATGCTAGGAATTTTTTAAAAATTTAGCAATTATGTAGCTAGCAGCACAGTAAGAGGTTCTGCACAGCAAGATAAAATGCATTTCAAATTTCCTAAATTTGTATCAAAAAAATTCAAAGCCTAAAAAGATTATTAAAACGCACAATTTCGTACCGTTTACAACGAGCAAATAAGAAGCAAAGAAAAATCAATAGCCAAAGCCATGAACAAGATTAAGGCCATTAAATAAAAACAATGTAATATCAAGATCTGGGAACTCTTTTTTATAAACACACTTTCTTTTGTTCGTTGTAGCTTAAAGTTTTATGTCCTTCCATGCTTTTCCTCTCACTGTCAAATTAAAAGTAAAAAAGTTTCATTAAAAAGCAGAAGAATAACACATTTCGAATCACAAAAGTGCAGGCCGGCGGATCGATATGTTGACATTATATTGAGAAAAACTTGCTCTTAAAACTAGCGTTGAGTGGGAAACTCCTGGCTCCATTGTTCGCCGCAACAAAGGCGAGTGGTCCGAGTATGGGGATGAAAGATAGGGGATTGGGACATGTGTAGTATCTGAAGATCTGAAGACAATGACAATTCCCGGGGCAGAATCTGTTCGCCCGCTCCATTCTTTTCAGCATGTTACCCAGACACATTTCCCATTTTCTCCGGTCTTAATTTTCTTTTGCACTCCCCCACATCGCCACGTCGCACATCTCCTTCCCCTTCCCCATCCCCTTCCCCTTTCCCGGACACAGAGTGTTTCTCATAAATATTATTGCATTTTCGCATCTCCTGCTCTTGTTTATGAACTGCACTTTTCCCTGCCGCCCCACCCACTTTTCCTCCCCGAAAAGCTTTCAACTCGAGTTGATTCAACACAACTCGAACAACTTGAACTGGACGCAACAAAAGCGCTGGCAATAGCCACTTCCTGTTTAGCGCGAAATTTCAATTATGAGCAAACACGACCACGCCCACCGCCCACGCTCCAAAAACGAATAGATAAAGTAATATGCACAAGTTTCCGTTTTCTTTATTAAACAGAAGAAATCACTTTTGGCCCATTTTCATGGGCATCGGGGCGTGCACTTCTGCAGATGTTTCATTTCTGGTGGGAAAAGCGGAGCGCTGAAAATGTTTTCTCCACGCACCATCCATTCAAATATTCTATATACTATATATATATATATAGGGATAGCTACGAATGTGTGTTTGTATTCACAGTTATAAGTTACTACGCCCGCTGACTACTCAAACGTGACTGGCCAAAGTTTTTCAATAAACTTTAACAAGAAAACATTAAAAAGCCACAACGTTGGCGCATTTCCATTTCCAGTGGCTCAGCGACGAGCAGCCAAGAAGTCAAAGCTCCAACTCCATAAAAGCGGCAAATAGTTGTGTGAAAAGGCAGTTGCCCCATCCTTTTTCTGGTAGCGAGGATCCTCTTTGTGCGTTTGCCACACTCTTTTCCCCGGGAGGCGGCGAGTTCGCATATAAATTTCAAATAAAAAGCAAATCTACGGAACTTCTTCTTGGCCAGCTTCGGTGTCAGCTGG